TGTGTGGCTGTTCTCGCTCCACTGCTCCATCTGGATCCTCCTCTTCATACAAACTCACCCTGAAACTAGCTCCTGGTTTGAGTCAATGACTGTATTTCCAACTAACATCTAATTATGTCATATTTTATGGATGAAATGTTGAAAGATAGAGCTGTTGTTATTGTCTTATTGTCTCCTGCTCACACACACTTACTCTGAATCGCTGCACATCTCCGGTTTTCGTTGGTGATGATGTGGGTTTATTCAGCTCTGTTTGAGTCGGCTGTGGTCCTCAGTGCACATCCCCAAACCTCCAAACAAGCGGCTGGCCTCTGCAGGTGTCAGAGCACATGTAGAAAGCTAAACTCTAAACATGTGCCTCCAGGCTTCCGTAGCACAGCACAGTTGTGGTTGTTGCAGTCGCTCAGTGACCAGAAGAGACACCCTGACTACAAGCACGTTTCAAACAGCACAAGTGAAGAGAAAACAGGACAGTCTGGAGACATTCTGTTTAATTATTTCTTTGGACACACCACTGGTTAAAACCGTAAATGAAATATTGTAGTTTTAGTAGTTAACAAATGTCTCATTCGAGTTTAGATGGAAATGATTCTGAATTGAGTTTAAATTGTCTTTATTTAATGTGTCTCAGCGTCTGGGGTGGGGAAGGTTCTGATTGGACAGAGACACAAAGGTATTTATGTCAACCTGAAGAAAACACACACTTCTGTCATCCACTCTTCTCCTCCTCTCTCCCCTACTCCCCTTCCTCTCTCCACCTCTCCTCTCATTTCCACTCTTCTACTGTCTTCCTCTGCGCCTCTTACTCTCTTCTTCCCTCCTCCTCTCTGTCCTACCCTCTTCTACTACTCCTCTCTTCTCACTCTCTTACCTCTCTTCTCTCTCACCCCTCCTCTCTGTCCTTCTCTTTTCCTCCTCTCCTCTGTCCTCTCCTCCCCTCCTCTCTATCCTCCTCCCCTCCTTTCTGAAGATCATTGCTTTCTCTGCGTGTCCATGAGAAGTCCTCCCGTCTTTCTTTTTCTTCTTCTTATCTCCTTTCCTCTCCTCCTCTCTGACTTCCTCTCTGTTCTCCTCTCTTCCTCTCCTCTCCTCCTCTCTGCCCTCTTCTCTATCCTCCTCTTTTTTCTTCTCTGTCCTTCTCTCCTCCTCTCTGTGCTTCTCTCTTCCTCTTCTCTCTTCTCTGTCCTCCTCTTCTCTTCTCTCTGTCCTCCTCTCTTCCTCTTTTCTCCTCACTGTCCTTCTCTCCTCCTCTCTGTCCTCTTCTCTATCCTCCTTTTCTTTCCTCTCTGTCCTCCTCTCTTCCTCTCTTCTCCTCATCTCTGAAGAACAGTGTTTTCCCTGCGTGTCCGTGTGCAGTGCTCCTGTCCGCTGCTTCCTGTTGTTCTCGGAGAGGAAGTGTCACAGATACACTATATTGTATTGATTTGAGAAGAATCTGAAGTACTTCCTGACAGGATGTAGTGTCTGCTCATTTCTCTGTCCTGTACTCCACATATAGATTTAAATAAACACATCAGCTGGAACTTTTGGGTCTGGAGGAATAAAGGGGTGAGTGGGGGGGGGGGGTCAGGGTCTGGAGGACTAAAGGGGAGCGCCACAAAATGACCAAGAACTGATCAAACAACATAAATGCAGTTTAGTGTTACAAAAAATGTACATGTTTAGTGTTTAGTTCCACGTTAATCTGTCTTTATATAAATAGACACTTTGTAGTACTTTTTTACTTCTGCATAAATAGTAGTTTTTGCATTAACTTGTGAGTAGGGGTGTACAAAAATATCGAAATATCGATATATATTGTATCGCTTAATGTGATAATCCATCCATCCATTTTCTTCCGCTTATCTGGGGCCGGGTCGCGGGGGCAGCAGCCTAAGCAGGGACTCCCAGACTTCCTTCACCCCAGACATGTCCTCCAGCTCCTCCAGGGGGACCCCCACGCCAGCCCAGAGACATAGTCCCTCACGTGCCTGGTCTTCCCTCCTCCCCGGTGGACATGAACCAGGACCAAGGTGAGCTCCACTGGCTCTGTCCCGACAGATGCAGAGCACTCCTCACTGTTGGATTGGACTTCTCCATATCTCTTTCGAGTGCCGAACACTTTGAGGAAACTCTTTCAGCCTCCCTGTCCTTTCGACTCATTGAGCTCCTCAGACCACACTGAGAAGTGAACCATAAGGACTGAGTGGTAAAAGAGCTTCACATTTCGAGACCTATCCTCTTCAGTCAAGTAACAGGAGCGTTCAACAAAGACACTTTGAGCGAAGCCAACCACAAGTCGAGACTGCAGTTGCAATCCCGCTCACCGTTCACGATCATACAGAGCCACTAGTCAGAATGTCATTTCGTCTAACCAGAGTCTTCATCGCACAAGAGACAGAAGATGAGAGGAGCAACCCAAGACATGGAGCTTAGAATTTTTTGGTCACTTCATTATTCATTAATGAGCATTAAGAGCCCAATTAAGTTTTCATGGAACACATTTGACACATTCAGGGAGTTTTGAACAGGTTAAAGATGGTTGAGTTTATATTCACTTTCAGGGTTCCCACAGTCATTGGGATCCTGGAAAAGTAATAGAAATTGAAAGTCATTTTCCAGGCAGGCAATTTCTTAATTCAAAAGATTTGGAAAAAGTCATGGAGTTTTTATTCTTTTTGAACATCAGTTTCAAAATGAACTTAGGCCACTGATTATTTGTTTCTGATTTGGTGACTTTGTTTAAAGAGAGACGACTTATGAAACTGCACAACAGAGAGTAGAAAACTAAATACATGGGTGCTGTAAGTCATGTTTTTGAATCAGTGTTCACAGACTTTTAGTCAAAAGGCCTTTGTTATCCATGTGGGTGTCAATACAGTCAGAGGGAAGAAGCTTTTGGCATCTGTGTAAACTGTTTTTTACACTGAAAAACAAATTCAGGATAATGTTGTATATTACCAAAATGATGAGGCTTAGTTCAGTGCCAACTGTAATGATCCCAGCCCATGTAATTGCGTTTGGGTTTCTATACAAATTCCTGGAAGTATGGAGTACATGGATGAGATATAGTTACATGGAGTACAGTACACATGGAGTACAGTATGTATATACAGTTGCAGTAATACATGTACATGGTAGTAGAGTGCAGCAGCAGTGACATGAGTGTCTGTGTGGAGCATTGACCTTCATTGATTGGGTCTAGTTAAAGGGGTCAGGCCGTTAACATCCACAGCGTCCAATCAATATGAGCCCAGACTGGCAGTGTGGCAGGGGCGCACCTGTCAGAGAGATGTCTAAATCTGAGGCTGTTTTTGTCACAGTATTAAACACACATCTTTTCTGCTTGTCTTCTTGGAGAATGGAGATGTTGCTTCCTGTAATGTTTCACAGTAGAGCACAAAACTGATCTATCAGTTTATTCAGTTACTGGTGTTTTTATTGTTGATGTTAATATCTGTGTTCTTACTTTTATTTGTTGGGGCTCAATTCAAACTCAGTTGTTTTACTAATATATACAATACTGCAATGATAATGTTAATAAAAAACACTCTTTCTTTAGACAATAGAATGTGATATTGAATATTAAATGGTAGAACTTTCTTTTCTATTCCCATGTGGTCTCATATGTTTGTCCCTCAGTGGTCCAGGTATGTTCCAGAGTGGTTCATGAGTGTGTACTAGTCCATGTGCTCTGATACGCAACATCATTCTAAAGACATTCAAAAAACGTCCATTTCTGTCCTGTACATGTGACTTTTTTAGTTTCGATGCCTGCCCAAACGAGTATCTAGTTTTGATACTAGTTTTAGAATCAAATCAAAAGTGAGAATGTTCTGTGGCTGCTCCTGTCCTCCATGCTGGAGGAGCTCGGCTGGTACAGAGGTGGTGCAAAACATCCAGACAGAAGCGTGAATCCCGTTTGGTTCATTACATCTTGTTCTAAGCGTCTCTTGGTCCGTGCTCTTGGTTCTTCCCCGGGGAAAGCTCTTCTCAGGTCGAGGCACCTAACACCACTCCCCGCTCCAGCTCATCAGGGCTCAACCTGAACCTGAGCTGCTCCTGCTGGTTCAGAAGTCTGGGTTTGGACTGTTCCCCCGCCCATACAAACTGGGGAACAGCAGTACGCATCCCCACACGTAAGAACAAACCGAGATGACAGAAAAGTTGGTAGCAGCTGAAGTGTGTGTTTTCTTCTGGTCGACATACAGTATTTTCCGGGCTATTAGTTGCTCTGGATTATAAAACGCACTGTCATTAAATGGTCTATTTTTGAACTTTTTTCACAACAGTGTGAGGTGAGTGGTTTTGTTTGTTTGGTGCGTTCACGGTGACTCTGGGCTTTGTTCAGTTGTGGCGTGTAGGGAGGGTGCTGTCTGGGACCAACAGATTGTCGGCGTGATCACAGTGACTCAGTTGTTCAGTCGTGTCTAGAAGTGGCACATTGCACTCGCTTTTTCAGTTCGTTCCGTTCCATTCCGTTTCGTCGGCGTTGGAGTGATGAGTGTGTCTGTGTGGTTTCGCTGTGCGGTCACTGTCTGCTCCGTGTGTGTGGTCAGTTTTGTAGTTTACTGAAGTCATGCTGGGACACCCAAGTGGATTTGTCTATAGGAAAAGCTCTGGATTGTGTTCCATCAAAATCAATTATTATCTTAAAAGAGCGCGTCTTTAGTTAATATTCAAGTCTGCCCAATCAGAACCTTCCTCACCCCCACGTTGAGGTGTGTCGAATTATATTTCTAAATGTAAACTCGAAGGAGAATAAATTCTAAATCAGAACAGCAACAAAACGTCCATGTCATACTATGGAACATTCAAGACTCCTAGAGTGCAGATGGCAACTAAGTGCATGAACTGGAAAGAGATTTACTGGAAAGAGTTACTCAAACATGTGTGAATGAATGAAGTCAAGATGACTGTCATACACAGGACTTATTTGAAGTTATGTAAAATCTCCTACAGACATGACATACAATTTCTGTGTATCCTCCGTGTGTACTGCAAACCGACTTACCGAAGCAATGGCGAACCGCGAGCACTGCTTCGACGGCGTGCCCATCACCAAGAACGTGCACGACAGCCACTTCTGCGCCGTCAACACCAAGTACATCGCCGTGGTGACAGAGAGCGCGGGCGGAGGCAGCTTCATCGTCATACCCATCAGCCAGGTACGCTAATGCTAATGCTAGTGCTAAAGCTAAAGCTAAAGTTGCTCCTGCCGTGAGGACGTGTGTATCATCTGTATAGATACAGACACACACACACACACACACACACACACTGTAGCTCTGCACCTGGACCCTGAGGGCCTGATCTTGCCCACCTACATGAAGTTGGTCCACATCAAACACAAACCTACACAAAAACTATGTCAATCTTTTGTGCTGCAAAAAGTTTTGTTTGTGCTGTTTTTGTTTTTGAGATATTAATGATTCTTTTACAGGTCAAATTGGGGTCACCAGCCCCCAGGAAGCTTCAAAATGCTCTAAAACAACACAAAATGGTGTCAATCAATTTGTGTTTCATTTGTGCTGTTTTGTGCTGTTAAATGTTGTTTGTGCAATTAAGGTTTTTAAGATATTAGCAAAATATATTAGAAAATTATACGAAACCTTTGTATTTTGTTTGTGCTATTTTGTGCTTTGACAGTTTTCATTTGTACAAGTTTATTTCTAAAATCATTCATTATTATTTTTTAGGAAATTATATAAAATTTATATTCATTATTATCTCAGTCTTTAGTAACTTGCTTTTGGTTCATATTTTATATAATAATAAAGACTTTTCCACAGCCTCAGATCATTTATTTTGGACACGCCCCCTCCTTAACACTAGCACTAGTGTTAAGACTGAGGCAAGATCATCCCTGAGTCTACCTGCACTTATACTTCATGTATTACATAATGAACATTTGATCAGCTCATACTAACAATAGTAACAACGACACATGTGCCTCAGTGTCATTTTGGGTTTGCAGTGTCCTCTGAGAAGAACATTTAGACCCTGTGTGTCCTGTGGCTCGTAGTCTTTGTTCAGAGGACTTTCTATGACACATGCTTCCACTCAGCTTTTGTTTGGTTCTTCTGATGTGATAATGATGTTTGTTGCAGTTACAGATGACCCTGTGTTTCTCAAAGTGGCCAGTTTAAGATTTTCCTCCAGTGTTGTAATACAACAACAGTGTTGTAATGCAACAACAGTGTTGTAATGCAAGAGCCAGTGCCTCATTAACTCATGGGAAAGTGCTTGTAAACCAGAGCAATGTAAGCTACAGTAACAATCTGCATAGGATTTGTGGGAGCAAGTCACTATTAGTTTGATTTAAGCTCAGTTTAAATCAAACCAACACTGGCTCTGTCACTGGAGACGAGTAGACTCTACAGTGTCTGTCAGGAGAAGCTGGAGGAGCAAATTTTTATTTATTTTTTTTCTGGAGGAGCAAATATAAAGTGGTGCCTCTTAAGCAGACTCTGAGTGCTTCTGAGCTGTGAGAGGGTCAGAGCTCAGACAGAGGAGTGGGCAGAGAACTGAGAGAGAAAATACAGGATGCTCTCATTCAGACCAAGACCTTGTGATGAACACTCTGCTGTCAGTGTAAATGTATGCAGAGGATGAATCACTGTGACTGGGAAAAGCTGTTGAAATGTCTTGCTGAGGGACACAACATCACTATGCACCAGCAACCCTCTTCTTCATGAACAGAGCCTCTGTGTTTAAGTCGGTACTTTAGCTCATACACATATTGCGAGGAACAGAAGCTGATGGTGATGCTGCTCCATCGCTTTAAACTCAGCCTCCGTCAATAGAAGCTGTTGTCAGCACTCGTGTTCTGCAGAGCGTGCACTTTCACAATGTGCACATGTCACACTTTATATACGTTTCACAGCTGGCGTTTAGTAACAAATATTTACAATGGTCTTCATGGTCATTTTTGTGTTAAAATGACAGTCCGTTGTTTATTAAAATCAGTATCAGGTCAGTTCTTTAGATCAAAACTGAGTTGACATTTTTATTGGTGTATAATGTAAAGATCTCAGAAGCTGAGCAGGGCTGGGCCTGGTGTGTCGGATGGGAGAATGCTGGGAATATCAGCAGGTGCCAGAGTGGGGCGCCAGTGAGAAAAACTTTTACTTCTGTTACTCTGTCCCAGGGCAGCATTCTGATTATACAGGTCTGCAGTTTAAGGGCTTGATGTGTATTTAGTCAGGTCCGAGTCCTTGGTCTTTGAGTCCAAATCTGAGGCCTGGTATTTGACTCTCCAGTCAGTCTTTACGTCACCATGTTCAGGCCACACAAGTACAGGTCACACAAGTGTAGGAGAGAGAAGTGAAAACAGCACGCTGCTCTCAGTACTGTGTCTGGGACCTGAGGACTAGATAGTCTAAAGTCTGCACCAAAACCTGATTCCCTCAAAGCACAAGTTTCACGTTTTCATTCCATTCTGGTAACCACACACTCGCGTAAACAGACATGGTGTTTGTGCAGAGTTACAGGTTAACAGGGATCAGTCACACAGTCTGAGACACACACACAACTGTGAGAAAATGAGGAGGGACTATGAGGGTTTACAGTGGTTCCCAACATGGGGTCTGAGCACCGACTTCTACATGCAGACAGAAATAGAACAGACTGCTGCTGTCTACACACGAGTATCAGCTGGTAGAAGACCGTGACAACCTACAGATATACTATATGTGTGTGTGTGTGTGTGTGTGTGTGTGTGTGTGTGTGTGTGTGTGTGTGTGTGCGTGTGTGTGTGTGCGTGTGTGTGTGTGTGTGTGTGTGTGTGTGTGTGTGTGGTATGAAATAGAGCAGAAATGATGATCCAGGAAAGAGCAGACAGAGCCATGTGTCACACTAGACCTGAGCAGACAGACACTGCACACACACACGCACACATGCACACACATGCGCACACACATGCATACACACACACAGAGGAGAGGAGGGAGACCTGCTGTTTGCCACCTGCTCCTCCATCACACCACTTCCACACACTATCAGGTTTAGACTTGGTTTAGTTCCTAGGTTTGGTCTTTGTTTTATCCTTCATAGATTTACCTGATTTCTGGTGAGGACATTGGGTGAGAGGTACAAGAAAAGGCTGAGATTGGATGGACAAGATGCTAAAAAGAACTGGGCTACCTCAATTTCAATTCAGATCTTTCTCATTCCTATTATAACATCAGTGTATGAGTTGAAAGTGCCTTTGTATCTGTATGCATGTTTTTTTCTTTTTGAGAGTGCATTTTTCATACTCTCAAAGGAGCAGACTACCTAATCATTTCATTTAACATCTTCAAATTGAAATGGAACAATCTTTACCCAGTCGTTCCCTCCGCTTATTGGACCTTTGTGTCACCCCTGTGCTGTGGAAGTGTGCGCTGACCTACATCTGAATGTGCATTATGTATGAGGGGACTTCCACTTGTACACTGCTCAGACTCATCAGTGTGTTGTGTTTGTGTTTGTGTTTTTGTTTGTGTGAAGCGGTCAGCTGTCTCCCCGCAGGCCTCACATGTGCAACACCAACATCCCATAATACTCCACCACGAGTTTGCATCATTTGGATCTTTTCAGGGCTCAAATTGCCTTCACTCTAAGATGCAGCTAACAGTTTTAGCCTTGTTTAAATGGTCTGCCCTCTTTATATTAAAAAGAAAAAAGCATGTGCAAACTGATTTCTCCTAAACCAGGAAACGAGAATTTTCCACAATATGACATTACATTTAAAGGTGTTTCGATGCTAAAAAAAAATGTCTTGAATAACATTGTTGCTGTGGTGAGGGTCGCCTCTCCACACCTTTAATGAAGCAGATTTGAGCAGAGAGACAAATGTGAATAAGTAAAGTAAGAGTAAGTGACCGAATTTGACACAGAATTACAACGTGTCCTGTGGAATGAATCGTCAGAGCGACTCACGCCTGAACGAAAGAGCTCATGATTTATTATGTTTCACTTTGACACAAATAAAGCCCAATTTAAGGTCGTGCATCAAATCATCAGAGAGTGTGCGTCACTGTGAGCCCCGTCCACAGAGCGCCTGCATCGACCAACGTGCACCTCCAAAATGTTGTAACTGTGTTGAGACAATAAGGGCTGTGATTGGTCGTCTCTACATCTGCTCTGCATATATTTCCAGTACTCCACTTTCCCGCTTCATTTTGTGAACATAAATGCCATTTTGAAATCCTCACCTCCTAGCGATGTGGCGGTAAATTACTTTGCGGCGCATAGACCTCGACACAGATCTGTAAAGCAAATACGACGGTGACGAGGCGACGCGGCAGAGTGTGCAGAGTCGACTTAGGACTATACAATGACTTTAACCCTCAGTTACAGACCGTACACACATACACACACACATGCACACACATACACATACACACACACATGCACACACGCACACACAAATGTTGTGTTTCCATGGCTTTTGGGGAAATGACATAGACTCCCATTCATTTCCTGGAGACTGATCCTAAAACCTTCACTACAGTCACTCTGTGCCTGAACTTAAATCTACATACACACTATTATAATGCTATACTATAATGTTACATACTGCAGCTTTAACCTAAACACTAAATGTAACCTATTTTAGCCCAGATCTGAACTTTAAAGCATGCTGTTGATCTAATAATAAAGGATTTACATTGACTGTGTGTGACTGTGTGTGACTGTGTGTGACTGTGTGTGACTGTGTGTGACTGTGTGTGACTGTGTGTGACTGTGTGTGACTCTGTGAGTGTGTGTGACTGTGTGTGACTGTGTGTGACTCTGTGTGACTGTGTGACTCTGAATGTGAGATGTGAGATGTGAGTCCATCAGAGCAGAGGACTCTGGATGCCTGGAGGACATGGTGAGTGTGAGCGTGTGGACGCTGCAGTTAGTTTCACATGATGTCATTATTGGATTAGCTGTAAAAAGTGCAGGTTCAGTAGTAGCACAGATATTGTTGTGGCTCAGACTCGTCTCACTCGAGCTGTAGAACGGCTCGGCTCACATTAGCTAAAGTGTTAGTGTGTGATTTGCATAACATTAGCAGCTCCATTCTGATTTGTGTCAAGTGTGAAGTCAGCGCTGATAGACACACTGTTCTGCCTTTTCTTTTATCCTTTTGCCTTTGTTTTTTGTGCTTGTTGAAGGAGACACTGTGTAAAATCAACATTCATGTTTGAAGAATCTTGAGTTTGTCCTGTTCAACCTGAGGTTTGACTGTTCTTACAAATAATTAGAAAAAGTCTGTTTTCACCTACCCCCCATCCCCTTAAAACTCACTGTTCAAACAGCACACACGTGTGGGGTTCAAAAGTGTTGTGTAGCCCTTTTACAAAGTGCCTGCTCCAGTGAAATGTGACTGTGCACTTCTGAACAGGAGTGGAGCAGTTTCTATTATGAAGGAACATGAGTGGTTTACAAATGAACAAAATGTCCAATATTTGTCCAGGTTGTAGTGTCACACACTACACACATACAGTAAACATCAGAAAAGGCCTATATGTCCTTCTTCTTCTTCTTTAATATTAAAAGAGGCTTTATAAATGTGTTATGTAAATATCAACAATTCATATTGAAATATGAAATATGTGTTTACCTTATTTCCCCTTTGTTAACTAATGTTAAAATAGACTTATATATTGTATTGTATACTGTTCCTGTAGAGAACTCTGTCCTCTGCATTTGACCCATCCTTGAATACCACTGGGACACGTCCTCAGGAGCACAGAGCACCACAGCCCAGTGCTCAGGGACACATGTCCACATCTTGAGCTGGTCTTGGTCAGGATCTTGGCTGGAGGATTTGACCTGTTGTGCATGGGGTTTGATGGGAAAAACCAGAGTGTCCAGGAAAACTGCAGACACAAGGAGAACATGCAAACCCCATACTGACACAGGGGAAGCATGCAAACTCCACAGAAAGGGGATTGAACCTGGGACCTTGTTCCTGTGATATATGAGTGCTACTGTGTCACTCATTTGTAACATTGATTAACAACACTTGACTCTCCTTGTCTCCTGGTCTAGACCTGGACATTGTGCAGCTTCCAGGCCACATTTGGCCCTTTGGTCGACTCTGACCAGCTCGTTTAAGATCATTTGTGATTACAAAATAAATATATTTTATAATTTGACCTCATGTATGGACTAAAGCTGCACTGTATTTATTTTAGAAGTGTTTTGTTTGTTTTTTTTATTACATTTTTGTTCGGCAGCCTCACTTTTTCATTGCTTAGATAAACTCTTACCATTCTGAGCAGCTCATCAAAACAATGATATTTACAACTTTTTTAAATAAAGAAATACAATTAATATTCTGCAGAAATATGTTAAGCATTTTGGCCTCTACAGTGTTTTCTGTTTCTCATGTGGCTCCATGGAAAAAATATTACCCACTCCTGGGTTAGTCCTTGGTTAGTCCCAGGTTCGTCCCAGAGGAGGACAGTGGACTTCAGGACCATAAATCATTTATCCTGACTCACATCCACAGCTCCTCCTGAGGCTGAGTGAGCAGCCGCTGCCCCCCTGTGGACAGTCCTGGTCACTACATAAACACCACAGAGCCACAGAGCCACAGAGCCACAGAGCCACAGAGCCACAGAGCCACAGAGCCACAGAGCCACAGAGCCACAGAGCCACAGAGCCACAGAGCCACAGAGCCACAGAGCCACAGGGCAGTGCAGTACACAGCCCTGCTCTGATCCAGCACTTTCATTAGGCTCATTATTCATATGGTGAACACCTGGGTGTTTTGGTATTATTTATAGGATGATTGAAGAAAGAAGAAGAAAAAGAAAATAGTAAAAGATATTGAAGGTACATTTCTAAGTAATAGGTTAAAAGATTATATTTATTTAACACCTTCTTATGGGTTTAGAACAAGCAGAGGTATGCGAGCACTTGCCAGGGGATACTTGGAAAGTATTTGAATAGTTTGTAATATAAACTGTTCTCTGTAGTAAATACATACAAAGGATAATTCTTTTATTAAAACAAGAAAATACTTTAGTAATCCTTGAAAATGCACTAGTAAGTAGATTTATAATTACTAAAGAAAGTGTGTTACAGTTAATCAGAGGTACTCAACACTTGTGTTAAACTGCAGTGTAAATCATGTTTAACTCATTACATTACATACTGTCATTTCTATAGGATTATGAAATCAAACCTGACAGACATAAATGTGTTTGTGTGTCTTACAGTCCGGGCGTCTGGACTCACACTATCCCAAAGTGTGTGGTCACCAGGGCAACGTCCTGGACATCAAGTGGAACCCCTTCTTTGAGAACATCATCGCGTCCTGCTCAGAAGACACCTCTGTAAGTGTTCTGTACCAGGGCAATAACAGTGTCTATGGTCCTGATGATGAGTTTATGTTAAAGGTTCTATTTTATGAGAAACTTTTATCAATGTTATAATCTTATTACCTCCTCAGAAACAGACCTGGAGTTGTGTTTTGTTTCATTTACATGTTTCAGTACTTCTTTATTATTAATCTGTCTACATCTTTAAAGCTCAAAATGCTCTGTTCCATCATGAAGCAGTAGTTTTCAAGTTAACAGCTACTTTAAATTTTTTTTAATTTTTTATAGAAGCTGACAATTCCAGGGCTGAAATTATCCAAATGATTCTTCCTGTATTACCAAATGACATCACAACAGTTTGAGAGATTAGTCTAAATATGCACAATTTAACATGCGTGAATGAAACAAAAAGCAACATCATCTTTCCATAATTACATTTTCATTAAAACCGCCCAAACTGTTAAACCTTTTTACTTTTGTTATGTCCAAAATCATCAACCTAGTGTTCTACTCCTGTGGTACTGTTACGTGTGCAGTACTTTCACTCGTATACAGTAGTACAGTAGTAGTTTGACTTGTTGGTGGATTAACTGGTGCTTTCACAGCGATCCTGGCTGGAGCTGTAATCCAGTGTAATCCCACTGCTCCAGGCTGTGCTCACAAACTCTCACTGCCCACAGAGATGAGCTGCTGAGTCTGTGCTCTGCTCTTTGCACAAGTATATCTATCACTTTCAATCTGAATGTTTATATTGATTTTATACACTACTTTGGCCTGTGCTGGATACGATTAGTCTATACTCTAGATTTATAACAGGTTATTTCAAGACAAAAGGCGGATGTACAGCCATGTGTCCAAAGAGGTTCATTTGGTCTTCCGATAATTTATTATTAGGTTCTTTTTTCAGACCAAGTTTGTTTTCATCCCTGACAGTTTGTTCTGCTCCCTGTTCTTCCTCAGAGTCTCGTGATGTTGCTGTAACGTGTCACTCAGTTGATTTAAACCAGTTTTGGCGCTGTTGAACTACCGCTGGAGGCAGGACGACAGCGCCACCTGCAGTCCCACTTCCTCAGGACAGTATCCCAGGTGTGTGAGAGTAAAAAAGCCCCTTCGCCAGAGCATAAATGTAATGTCATGTATGAAATACCCTGCGTGTTCTGCAATAAAACACACGTCGGGGAAACAGGGCAGGCATTCAGTCCACAAAAAAAGGAACATAAGACAGAATGCGAGAAAGAAACAGCGAAGGCGAAACATGAGCAAGAAAACACAAAGCAAAAAAGGAACAACTCACATCGTCCGTTTGTGACACTGTAAAAGAGAGAAGCACATTCTGGGCTGGGACGGAGCAAACATCACTGAGATAGAGGAAAACAAACATCATCACTGGATTAAAGAGAAAATCGGAATACAGAAACATGCCCACAAGATGATAAACCGGGACAAGGGGCTTTTTTACTCTCACACACCTGGGATACTGTCCTGAGGAAGTGGGACTGCAGGTGGCGCTGTCATCCTGCCTCCTCCGGTAGGAAGACAACACCAAAACCTGTTTAAATGAGCTGAGCGACACGACACAGCAACATCATATGACTCTGAGGAAGAGCAGGGAGCAGAACAAACTGTCAGGGATGAAAACAAACTCCTGGTCTGAAAAAAGAACTAAATACCATATGTATAGCCGTGTGTGTGACAGGTGTATAAGTGTGTGACAGGTGTATAAGTGTGTGTCGTGTGACAGGTGTATAAGTGTGTGTCGTGTGACAGGTGTATAAGTGTGTGTCGTGTGACAGGTGTATAAGTGTGTGTCGTGTGACAGGTGTATAAGTGTGTGTGTAAGTGTGTGTCGTGTGACAGGTGTATAAGTGTGTGTCGTGTGACAGGTGTATAAGTGTGTGTCGTGTGACAGGTGTATAAGTGTGTGTCGTGTGACAAGTGTGTGTCGTGTGACAGGTGTATAAGTGTGTGTCGTGTGACAGGTGTATAAGTGTGTGTCGTGTGACAGGTGTATAAGTGTGTGTCGTGTGACAGGTGTATAAGTGTGTGTCGTGTGACAGGTGTATAAGTGTGTGTCGTGTGACAGGTGCGCATATGGGAGATCCCAGAGGGTGGTCTGAGGCGTAACATGAGCGCCGCCCTGCTGGAGCTGTATGGACACAGCAGACGAGTGGGGCTCATCGAGTGGCACCCGACCAGCAGCGGCATCCTGTTCAGCGCCGGATACGACTACAAGGTCAAACTCTCTCTCCTCTCTACACTCGTCTACACTGTGCACTAAATGTACTGAAACTATTTTTATTTTGTATTTGATAAGAGACAGTGCAAATGTACAGACAGGACACCAGTAACAATGCAGCACACACAAACCACATTAGATGAAATGGAAATGAGGTGAATTATTGTTGTTGTGTCCAATATCCCACTGTATTTATCCAAGCACAAGATACAATGTGATTATCAGTAATGATTTTAGCCACAATGCAGCAGAAGAGCAGGAAGAAAGACTGTGAACACCTTCCACTCTGCACACACAGAGAAGCTGTGTATTATCTGTGTGTAACCCCCCGACCTCACAGCCATGTGCCTTTGTGTGTGCGCGTGCCTTTGTGTGTGTGTGTGCACAAAGTGTGATAAACATTAAACAAACGTCTTAGCAGCAGCAAAGGGGCAGATCAACAAATCAAGTCAGAAGAACAGGGACAGGACAGGGGCATATGGTCAGACTGTGTGTTTTCAAAGTCCTGTTCACAGAGGAAAGCTCCAGGTCACAGTTACTGTAGTGGGCTGGATATGGTTTACTGACCGTAAGGGGGGTTGGACCTGTACCTTCTACCTGAGGGCTCAGGTGGAACAGGTGATGAGCAGGATGGTGTCGGTCACACTATGTGTGTGTTTATGTGTGTGTGCAGATTCTGATCTGGAACCTGGAGCTGGGGGAGCCGGTGAAGATGATTGACTGTCACACAGACGTGGTCCTCAGCATGTCCTTCAACACAGACGGCAGCCTGTTGGCCACCAGCTGTAAGGACCGCAGGCTCCGGATCATCGAGCCACGCTCTGGAAGAGTGCTGCAGGTCAGGACAATGACACACACACACACACACACACACACAATGGCTTACAACAGAGCACTTAGACAGTCCCATATTTAGATTATGCACAAACCATTACAGAATCTTTTTCATTCACGCACTCCACACTCTGTGGTGATAAGATACTTCTGCAGTCATAGCTGCCCCAAGGCAGACTGACAGACCACCACCCATCCCTCATATACACACCAGATTCAGGTAAGTTAGGAGAAGTGTCTTGCCCAAGAACACAATAACACTGCTCTTACTTGCACTACATACTTGCACTTCCTGAGCCATATGCTCCACACCAAACTGAACCAATCAGGGCCAGACTGCAGAGTGCTGAATCAAACTGGCAATGTGAAACTATGTTCTAAAATGTACCAGGATGTACCATATAATGAAAGAAAATATATGTTTGTATCTCTCTGCTGACAAGGGGAAATAAACGATTAGCACAAATTTGTTCCTGTTAGGTACAATTATTACAGACCACAGCCTAAGGACTGTTGACTTTATAGTAATTACATTAATTATTTATGACTATTGCATTTATTTTAAATGACAGAAAGCAACTTAGGTTTGATTTAAAAGCAGTTATATTTTGACTGTTATAGATGATCAGGCTTTATTTTCAGGATAATCATATTAATAGTGTAGTAATTACTGAGTATTGTGTTTCCTGCGTCTCTGCAGCAGGCCAACTGTAAGAACCACCGTGTGAACCGCGTGGTGTTCCTGGGCAACATGAAGCGTCTGCTGACCACCGGCTTCTCCCGCTGGAACACCAGACAGATCGCCCTGTGGGAGCAGGTCAGAGCCACCCCCACACCTCCACCCCCACCTAAGTGTGCCCAGGACTGACCCCTCTGTGTGGGCTGGTACAGAGGGTGTGACCCCTCGGTGTGGACTGGTACAGGGTGCAGGTCTAACCCTCTGTGGCTGTGGGCTCTTGCAGGAGGACCTGTCCATGCCCATGGTGGAGGAAGACATAGATGGCCTCTCAGGACTGCTCTTCCCCTTCTACGACGCAGACACTCACATGCTGTACCTGGCAGGAAAGGTCAGAGGGCAAATAGTCTGAGTTGATCATTATAAAGTCACTTTATATAAAGTCACTTTATAATGATAACAGATCAAATGGACCAGCTGCTAATCAGTCTTGTACAATATTAATTTACATTACAAGAACAACATGACTAACATAAGCACATTTGGAGGGAAAAGTGAATTAAGGTTTCTGGTGTTTTTAAAATCAGTTTCACCAGCTAGGACCACGCCAACAACGACATAGTGCGAAGAAGTTTATTGATAATGTACGAAGCGAGGCAAAGATGGCTGGGTTGAGACTATGGGTGGGGGCTCTGTCTCAATCTACAATTGGCCCAGCCGGGAAGGGACCCCCCCTGTAGGGGTCTTATGACTGAAAGACAAAATAGGGGCTGGGAGGGTGGGGGCGAGTTCACCGAGACAAACTGGGATGATGGGAAAGGCTGCTACATATAGACTTCTGGGAAATTAGAGGCGTGGTCGAGGTGAGTTGTGGTTCGCTGGTGAGAGGAGAGGGCGGTGGGGCGTGGTCCTGCTCCTGAATCTCACTTAATCATATTAACTACATTTAAATACAAACTAGTTTTGACAACATTTTGTTATTGGGTAGGCCGAGATTAGCTAAATTCTTTCAGGAAATGACTAGCTTCAAAATGTAGTATTTGCCTTAGATTTAAAGCCACAGTATGTAACTTTTAGCCAAAAGATAGGTATAATAAATTAAATAAAAGCATGTTTTTCATAAACATGTTTTATGCTTATTGCTCTGGAAATCTTGTGGGATCTACACAAAGCTGACTCTTATTTGGTCTGGAGGAGGGTCTCCTCTTGTTTTAATGGAAATGTTGTTAGTTTGGCTCTAATATGACACACAGAACTCAAAGTATACATTTAACTTTTTATTTCCATGGAATCATCCAGGTGACATGCCAACTCTGGAAAGTTACAAATTGTACCTGTATATTTAACCTAACAAACCTTACATTGACTGGCAGATCATTTGACATACATACATAGACAACCATGAACTTTAAATGCATCATTTCAACATTTTGGGTAAATGGCAGACAGTCAAACAGTGATTTTCCTTGCACACAAAGCTAACATGTTAACTTGTGTGCTACAGGGAGACGGGAACATCCGGTACTTTGAAGTGACCACAGAGAAGCCGTACCTGCAGTACCTGATGGAGTTCAGGTCCCCCGCGCCGCAGAAGGGGCTGGGTGAGGCTGCCGCGTCTGAATACTCAAGTGGATGTGTCGAGGGGTGTGGGGTAACATTTAGGAGGAAGTGGTGGTTGATGATCTCAAACCTCAGGCAGGTTAATGGGCTAACAAAGATTTTAATCATAAAGCAGGTCCAAACATCGGCATTTTGAATCTTACAATCTTTCATAGCATTTGTATCTGTCCTCCATCCAAACAGTTAATGGGTTTTAGGCTGTGAAAGTAAATTCCCTATAGACTTTTCAAACATATAATTATTAATATCAAATATATAATATTAAATGTGTACTATGTAACTTTTTTCTGGTGGGTCTGGTGATGAAGTTCAACCACCGCATTTTTGTCAGGATTTCATCAGTTCTCAGGAGCCAAGCACTGCTGGGCTTGGTTAGTGCTTAGATGAGAGAGTTCTGGGAATATGAGGAGCCTAGTGCAAACTGTTGTTGTGTCCTTAGGCCAGACACTTGGCCCACATTAAGTAGTATGACAGTGGAGTGAGTGCAGGTGGTGTTTGGAGGGGCTTACCGGTGTGGAGAGTGAAGTGAATGAATAATGCAACGTAAAGTGCTTTGGGAGTCCTGGAAGTCGCTATATAGAACACTTATAGGTGAAAGCATAGATGTGTTTGTATTTTTAGTGACATGAATGCTGTCCCCGTGTGCTGAATGTGCAGGAGTGATGCCGAAGCACGGCCTGGATGTCGGAGCCTGTGAGGTGTTCCGCTTCTACAAACTGATCCCTCTGAAGGGCCTGATCGAGCCCATCTCCATGATCGTGCCTAGAAGGGTCTGTACCATACACACTTACACTACACTCTTACACTACACACTTACACTACACTCTTACACTACACACTTACACTACACTCTTACACTACACCCTCACACTACACACATACACTACACCCTCACACTACACCCTCACACTACACACTTACACTACACACTTACACTACACCCTCACTACACACTTACACTACACACTTACACTACACCCTTACACTACACACTTACACTACACTACACCCTTACACTACACACTACACTACACACTTACACTACACACTACTACACTTACACACTACACTACACACTACACACACTTTACACTACACACTTACACTACACACACTTTACACTACACACTTACACTACACACTTACACTACACACACACTACACACACTACACTACACTTACACTACACACTTACACTACACACTTACACTACACTTACACTTACACTACACACTACACACACACTACACACTCACTACACACTTACACTACACTACACTACACTTACACACTTACACTACACACTTACACTACACTCACACTACACACATACACTACACCCTTACACTACACCCTCACACTACACCCTCACACTACACCCTTACACTACACTCTTACACTACACACACTACACTACACACTTACACTACACACTTACACTACACACTTACACTACACACTTACACTACACTCTTACACTACACACATACACTACACACTTACACTACACCCTACACACTACACACTACACTACACTACACTACACTACACTACACACTTACACTACACACACACACTACACTACACTTACACTACACACTTACACACTACACACTTTACACACTACACACTTACACTTACACTACACTTACACTACACACTTACACTACACACTTACACTACACTCTTACACTACACACTTACACTACACACTACACACACCTCACACTACACACATACACTACACCCTACACTACCCTCACACTACACCCTCACACTACACCCTTACACTACACACTTACACTACACCCTTACACTACACTCTTACACTACACTCTTACACTACCCACTTACACTACACACTTACACTACACTCTTACACTACACTCTTACACTACCCACTTACACTACACACTTACACTACACACTTACACTACACCCTTACACTACACACTTACACTACACCCTACACCCTTACACTACACACTTACACTACACTCTTACACTACACACATACACTACACACTTACACTACACACTTACACTACACCCTTACACTACACACTTACACTACACACTTACACTACACTCTTAAACTACACTCTTACACTACACCCTCACACTACACCCTTACACTACACACTTACACTACACACTTACACTACAAACTTACTACACACTACACTACACTTACACTACACACTTACACTACAAACTTACACTACACACTTACACTACACTTTTACACTACACCCTCATATTACACACTTACACTACACCCTCACACTACACACTTACACTACACACTTACACACTTACACTACACACTTACACTACACTCTTACACTACACTCTTACACTACACCCTCACACTACACCCTTACACTACACCCTCACACTACACACTTACACTACACACTTACACTACACACTTACACTACACACTTATACTGCAAACTTACATTACACACTTACACTACACTTTTACATTACACCCTCACATTACACCCTCACACTACACACTTACACTACACACTTACACTACAAACTTACACTAAACACTTACACTACACCCTCACACTACACCCTCACACTACACACTTACACTACCCACTTACACTACACCCGCACACTACACCCTCACAATACACTACACCTCTACGCTACACTGCACCTCACGCCCTTACATTATTCCCTCATACTACATTACACCTTCACACCACACCTCACCCTACACCTACACTTGAGCAAAAGCTGACCCTAATGTAGGAAAACCCGGCATGAGCTTCAAATAATAATAAATATAGAGTTATCAGACAATAACTGTGTTTTCTGAGTAACTTTACTGATTTGTCAGTCAAGTTATCTGTCCAGTATATATCCACTGTTTTAGGTGAAAATGTCCAAAAGACTGAATATAATAAATCTAAAAATGTATTGTGTTTAGATGTTTGTGGAATAATATGTGATTAAAATCATTCCTGTGCCCTGTGTGTGCAGTCTGACACGTACCAGGAGGACATCTACCCCATGACGGCAGGCACAGAGCCCGCGCTGTCTGCAGCCGAGTGGCTCAGCGGCATCAACCGAGGTGAGACCTGAGAGTCAGGAAGAGACTCCTTTAAAGTGTTTTGCTGTCTCATGAACCTGCAAAATCACAACTAGTTTATTGTAAATGATTTGCAGTGGTCTAAAGTTCTTCATCACTTACCTCATGCATTCTGAGCATCCTAATTATTCACCATGATGAGTTTATAAGCACTTTTCACAACTTTCAGAGGCCAGAGCAGAGTTTTAGAGTCATGCCTCTGCTAACAATATCTAGCAAGCCAACAGTGCATTTCCTGGTTCACAGAGGATAAAATCAGTTCACTTCAAATCATTTTTATAGTTATTCTTTTTTCAATAGTTTTTTCTATCACTGTCACTTAGTTATTAGTTATTAGTTCTAAAGCACTGAAAACATTTTTTTTTTTAATAATCCAGACCCGGTGCTGATGTCGCTGAAAGAAGGCTACAGCCGACCCAACCAGCTGGTGTTCAAAGCCCCAGTGAAGAAGGAGAAGAGAGAGGTGGTGGTGAACGGCATCGACCTGCTGGAGAACGTGCCGCCCAGGACTGAGAACGAGGTCACACTATGTCCTATGTCCCTGTTTATGTGTCTGTGAGCGCACTCTGGACACTACCCAGTCCACACACTACACGTCCTACAGAGTATGAGCAGGAGCTTATTTTGAGACTTATTTCACTTTATAAACTTGATCTATCTGAATAAATATGTCCAAATCAAATATACTTTTTACTAATGGCAATTCTAATAGTGATTTACTCTTAATTACAAAAAAAACACTGGTTGAGATGCACAAGTTGTTTATGTTATAATTTGATGATTAGTTCTCAAGAAGATGATCCAATCAGAAAGCAGAATGAGCCTCACATGACTCTCTCATTTGGGTTGTCAGGTTCAATGGTGAAATTCAGTTGGTTTAATCCTAAAATGTCTCTCTGATCTGCATGGTCACTCCCGAAACCCCAGCACCTACAGCAATCATGAGTCAGTGCTAGTGCAGCCTCTGCAGCTCAGGGAGGGAATTCTGGAGGTTCTGAGCTTCACATGAGGCCTGGTCTTTTCATATACTGAGAATGAGACAAACTTGGATGTGTCTCTATCTGCAGGTGAAGGCTCTGAAGACACAGGTTCTGTTGATATTTTTATACCAGTGAGAGTGCAGAATACAAACACTTAAAAGACACCTCAAACAACACAACAAATGGCCAAAACTTGCTGAAATTGTGCGATGAATTTGACTTTTTTGTGTGTATTTCCTACCCTTTTCTTATTTCTTGTTTTGCTTGTTATAAACTGTGTGTCAATATTTGAGCACCACTGAATGCATCTCAGACACAAAAGAAGACTTCACTATCCCTCTTTGCTAAAATCACAGTCATCCAGGCTCTATGCCCCTACACTGAGTCTACACTGCTTGGATGTGCTCCAGTCCTCCGGGGCTCTTAAAGTGAAGTGTATTAGAACGAATATGTGTATCTGATAATGACTAATCAATATGACACTTCATTACACCATCTTAATTAGCAGACTATGGATTTGCTGATTGAAGTTGTGTCAACATAATACGAATGTGTAAATTACAACCATCAATTCAACAGCTGTTAGTTAGATGAACTAATTAATTATAAATCAACATGAACATAATATTGACTGAACAAGAGCGATCTCTTTAAACAACTCCAAGTGTCTCCTAACTAATGAAAAGTCTGTTCTACAGCCTCTATCAGAGTAATCACAGACAGGCTCCAGATACGTATGAGCACATGTGCCTTTAAACTCTTAAAGATGAATTATGCAACTTTCCTGATGGATGTTCTGCTAAAGCTGGTTTCCATGGAGATGAAATGACTTTGCCTGTAATGTTTCACAGTATGACTCTTTTCCTTGTGACAAGCAGGTGAACGGGACTAGGTCCAGTTACAGTTCAGATCTGTGGAAAAGTGACCCCACTCACAGGAACTGACCACTAAAAACACCTGCAACATAGATTAGGCATTATCGTTTAAAGCAGGCATGTCCAAACTGTGGCCCGTGAGCCAAATCCGGCCCTTAGACAAATTTTTCTTGGCCCTCAGGCTTCTAGGTGAATTGGCTCAAATTACCTTGCATCACTTAAAAACAAACTTTTTTTCTGCAAGTTTTTTTTTTTTTTTTTTTTTTTTTTTATCTACCTCGATAAAGCCAATGTTTAGTGTGTGGTTTTAAGGATGTTAGCATGAAAGACTGATGGCTCATTGTAATGTGTTAAACACACATATTTCAATTATTCACTCTACTGAGCACAAGTCTGCGGCCCTCAGTCAGCCCTCTGCTTTGTTTGTGTTTAGATATATGGCCCTTGAAAAAAGTTTGGGCACCCCTGGTTTAAAGTCTACAGTGGAACATTACAGGCAAAGCAAAAACATCTCTATGGAGACAAGTGAAGGCTCCTACCAGAAAAGTCATAGTGCATATTACAGGGCACATATCGTACTATTTTCTGATCTATGTTATAATGATCTTTGTTATAAAACACAACTCCAGGTAGGTTTTTGATGAAGTAACAGTATTCTAACAGTTGACAAACGTTCACAAGTCCATTTTGTGTTATATAGGACCTTTAGAGCTTGAATATTTTTGAAAAGTCTATGGGAAAGTAAATGTCTTTAAATTGACTTTGGTTCCTTCTGGTTTGTTGGCCCCTGAGCAGAGCCTCTTAGTGTAGCTCAGACCTGACTGACCATGTCTTCTGTGTGCAGATGCTCAAGATGTTCTTCAAACAGCAGGAGGAGCTGAGGAGGCTGAAGGACGAGCTGGCCTCTAAAGACATCAGGATACGACAACTGGAGCTGGAACTCAACAACCTGAAGAACGTCAGCCCCAACGGAGTCTGACCTCTGACCCCTGAGACCCCTAAACCACCTGAAGAACGTCAGCCCCAACGGAGTCTGACCTCTGACCCCTGAGACCCCTAAACCACCTGAAGAACGTCAGCCCCAGCAGAGTCTGACCTTTGACCCCACTACAACCTGAAGAACGTCTGACCTTTGACCCCTCAATCACCCGAAGAACATCAGCCCCAACAAAGTCTGACTTCTGAACTGTGACCCCCACCGCTCTGAGCCCACCTTTGGGACATGTCATGACCAGATTTGGACCAGTTGTCACTGTGTGTGATTACAGTGGAGTCTATCTTTGTCCATTAAATTATCTTTAAACCTTCCACTTAACTTGAAGTACAGTGTAAACTCCAGGCTGGAGGGAGATTTAAATTACAGGATTAAAGCTGTATTTATTTTAGATGAAGTCTTTATCCAGCGCTCTGTGATGGTAACATACTTCTGTCGCCACAGCTGTTGTGAGTAACATGACAGAAGCGAGACTGACAATCTGATCTGACCAGCACTCACTCACACCCCATGTACCGGAGTTATGTAATCAGAATACAAATTATGAGTAACTGTATTCAGTTACAGTTACTGTTTCAGTGAGTGGTAATTAGATTACAGTTACTTTGTTGAGATAAATGGATTACACTGCGTTATTTTCCTGTTTTCACATTTTGGGCTATATCCCCTTTTTTTTCTTTTCTTTTCTTTTTTTTTTTTTTCTGTAATTCCACTCATTGCCGGAAACTAAACCAGGTCTAAACCAGGACTAAACTAGGACTAAAACAAGGTCTAAACTAGATCTAAACCAGGTCTAAACCAGGACTAAACCAGGACTAAAACAGGACTAAACCAGGACTAAAACAGGACTAAAACAGGACTAAAACCAGGTCTAATCCAGGACTATACCAGGTCTAAAACCAGGTATAAACTAGAGCTAAACTAGATCTAAATCAGGTCTAAACCAGGACTAAAACAGGATTTAACAGGACTAAATCATGCTGTGTGGATGTGTTTCCTCGTCTTCTATCAATAATATTTTTAATACAGTTAAGTAAAGTTTGGGCTTTTTATTTTCTTTTAGCAGACAAAACATCTTACGTTACGATTTCCTCGTCTTTGTTTCTCTACAGCAAATCCAATAATCCAAAGTATTCAGATTACATTACTCACTTAAAGTAATTTAATGGATTATGTTACAAACTACATTTTGGGGTATGTAATCTGTAATCTGTAGGGGAATACATTTTAAAAGTCACCTTCCCAACACTGTTTACACACACCCAAGATGTCCGGCCTGAGGACACAACAGTTTGGTTGAAGTTGTGTGTGAAGTTCTTCCTGGGTGTGGTGGAGCGCTGTGACCCCAGAGCAGGACTGAGCCTTCATAAGAGGAAGTGCCTCATTTCAATAACTACATGGAAACAAAACTACTTGAGGTTAGAGTGAAAACTGAACATGCTCAATGATTTAAGAGCCAAATCAAATAAAAGACAGACAAAAGAGTCCAAATCTGGTAATGACATCCCAGCTCCTGCCCTCCCGCCTGCAGCCTGTGTGAGGTTCTTAAGTGGTCCAGGTCCAGTGGTGTGTCTGGGTTCACATTATGTTTCATTATGTTTCTGCTGTATCTAACCGTGTGTGGACCTGCTAACCACTTGGACCTGTGATGTTCTCCTTAAGTCCTCCACTCCAGCTCAGTACTGTCTACACTGGCAAAGACGACTTGTGGGCTCTCCTCTTAGTATTAATGCAACGTTAGCTTTTGATTTCTAATTTTGATGTACATTTTGCCAGATATTGTAAAATGCCACTTTGCCTTTCCTGTTATTTATGTGGCAATACGAGGGCCATGGACTGTTCCGACGTGTCCCAAACTCCGTCCTCCTTGCCGCCTTTTGGAAGCAAAATGGAGGAGAAAGACTGGCTCCTGTTCTTCCGCCCTAAGCCTTAGTCTCTGCTGCTGTATACTCAAAATGGCCGACATCAAACGCTTGCACCAAACACATTTATGGATTTAGCATCACCTTTCACTAGCTGCTAATATCCTTTGTTTTCAGGTCCTTTGCTGTCAGGGCTGTTTCTAGCTTTAAGCAGGCTGAGTACGTGCGCAGGGGCCCATAAGCCACAAGGGGGCCTCAAGAAGAAGATGACTGTTAGATCTATTATGCAACGCAAAATCAACTTTTTAAACACTCTGACCATTTCCACTCACTCAGAGTTGTATTTCGAGTGATTCACACATGTTTAAGTAAGAATAATCTTCACTCATTGCTTTAATCAACCCAGTTTTTGCCGCAACTGCTACATACACAGCTCTGTACTTTCTTTGTTCTCCAATAAGATAAAGTGTCTTTAATTAAAGGGACACTTCAATGAGGCAGGCAGGAATTTCTTCCCATTGGGCTTTGTAATTTTCCAACCGGAAGTTAGCAGATTTGTTTTGTGATCAAGTTGTTTTAGATGAATATTATGATTTAAAATGTTCAAATTATTACAAATTGATTCACCAGTGTCATTGATTATAACTATGGCTGCGTTCACACTGCAGCCTGAAGTGACCCAATCCGATTTTTTGGCTTCTGTGTTCCTGAATCTGATCTTTTAATGACAGATCCGATTTTTTCAAATGTGACCCAGGACACTTGGATATGTGCTCCTTAAACCGATACATATCTGATCTTTTGACATGTGACTTCAGTCTGAACAGCCAAAACGCATTCATCCACCTACATGTTATCAACAAGACACAAATGTACACAAACGTTCTTCTCGTCATATGAAAATTGTTAATGAACTCCGCATCACTGAAGCGAAGCACATCACCACTCACCACTCTTGGCTACGTCTCCACATCCACACGTTCCTTTCAGCGCACTGCCCCTCAAAACGCCACAGCCAAAAACCTCGTCCTTCTCCTTCTCAATCTCCTCTTTAAAACAAGTAAGTTGTTCATGTTCTGGCTCCGGTACGAGATGAACTTTAAAATCTCCAGGTGCTCGATGCTGCGTCCATGTTTGGACAACTTCTGTAAACACAGAGACGCTCGCTGTGGTTGACGTCGTCGTGTCTCCAGTGTCACATGCGGGACACTTTTGGGCCGTTTAATGTTCACACTGGAGTCACATACAAGTCACATTTAATTGGAAACGTGAACGACCTCACAAAAACATCGGATTTCACAAAAAAATCGGAATTGAGCGTTAAGCCCTGCAGTCTGAACGTAGCCTAAATAGCAGACACAAGCACAATATATAAGTTTTGTTATTATAACCTTTTAAAACGTCAACATTTGATTTAATTTCATAACAGTTTGTAACAGTTTGTATCATGATTTTGCAGAACATAATCACCTCTTTGAATAACGGATGATTCACAACTTACCTCCAATTCTAACTCTTAACTCAGTGTGCTGTTTACTTTATATCGTATTTATCTTGTTTTATTTGAATTTACACTTGATAATTGTATGAATGCATATCTCTTCTAGGGGCCCTCAAACCGAGCATCTTGCGTGGGGCCCATTAAAGCTAGAAACAGCCCTGTGTACTGATATTATAACGAACTATGTTTATCTATGGATATTTTAATTGTTGCTTGTTTTTACTGAGGGCTACTTTTGACGATGCAGGAGATGTAAAGTATTCGTTTCTATTTATTTTTCCATGTTTTTAGCCAATAACCTTGTATATTTGTTAATCCCAATGGTTTTGTATTAATTCTAAGTTAACTATTTTTGATGCTTTGGCTGAATGTTGCTGAGAGAAAGTCATGTATCGATATTTTGCTGTTAAGATTTCTTCCGATATTTAAGCTTAGCGAGTATTTTAGTATCTGAGAACGACTTACACAAACATTTGACATTGTGTTTTTTACTCAAATGTGTTGGAAAAGTGGTAGAGTAAAGTGGGAGCAGACGGTGACAGTGTGAGGATGAAGTGATCCTTTGGGACGAGTTGTATGTGGAATAAAAGTGAAGGTTTTAAAACACAGCCAGTCATCAGTGTTGGGGAGTAACAGATTACATGTACCAGAGTTACGTAATCAGAGTACAAATTATGAGTAACTGTATTCAATAACAGTTACTGTTTCAGTGAGTGGTAATTGGATTACAGTTACTTTGTTGAAATAAATGGATTACACGGCGGGATTATCCTGTTATCACATTTAGGGTTTTTATATATATATATATATGTATGTATATATATATATATATGTGTATATATATATATATATATATATATATATATAAATATATATATTTTTTTTCCCCTCGGTACTTCCACTCATTACCAGAAACTAAACCAGGACTAAACCAGGACTAAACCAGGACTAAACCAGGTCTAAACCAGGACTAAACCAGGTCTAAACCAGGACTAAACCAAGTCTAAACCAGGTCTAAACCAGGTCTAAACCAGGACTAAACCAAGTCTAAACCAGGTCTAAACCAGGTCTAAACCAGGTCTAAACTAGGTCTAAACCAAGTTTAAACCAGGTATAAACTAGGACTAATCCAGGACTAAACCCAGGTCTAAACCAGGTCTAAATCCAGGTCTAAATCCAGGTCTAAACCAGGTCTAAACCAGGACTAAACCAGGACTAAACCAGGTCTAAACCAGGATTTAACAGGACTAAATCATGCTGTGTGGACGTGTCTCCTCGTCTTCTATCAATAATATTTTTAATTTTGTTAAGTAAACTCTGTTTTTTTATTTTCTTTTAGCAGACAAAACATTTTATGTTACGATATTCTAGCCTTTGCTTCTCTACAGCAAACCAAGTAATCCAAAGTATTCAGATTACTTTACTGACTTTAAGTAATTTAATGGATTCTGTTACAAACTACATTTTTATGTAATCTGTAATCTGTAAGGGAATACATTTTAAAAGTAACCTTCCCAACACTGCTGGTAATGCACAAGAAACCAACAGAATTGAGTATTTGTTTTGAAGTTGCTCCTTGTGACTCTTCTCGTAACACAGAAGCACATTCTGTTACTCTCCTTAAAATTAAACAACTTAAAAAATGTAACACCTTGAAATAACTGTAGACAAATAAACAAAGCACAAATTGGTTTATAATTTAAACACAACGGATTCCAGGCTCGGTAAAAAAATCGCACGAGGAAAAATATAGTTAAAAGGCCTTTCTTTGAATGGCCAATGCCAACATGTTTCAACCTTAACTGGTTTTCATCAGGGCTGGGCCATTCAAATAAAGGCCTTTTAACTATTTTTTTTTTTTTGTGTGTTTAAAGGTCGTATAGAGGATTTTTTCAAGGGAAGTGAAATACAACGACAGTCCTTTTTGGTGCATGCGTGACACCACCTTCCTCCTCCACAGCTCCTCAGTAGAAACACCTCCTCCCGCCTCTTTACTCTAGAAATCACACTTGTTTACATCCAGTGCGCGTTCAGAATTACTGTTGAAGTGACCTGTCCAGAAATGTTTTAGCGATCAACGCGTCAGTTTTTAGACACTTCATTTGCTTCAGTCGCCCAATCGCTGGAAGGAATCTCCTAGAATCACCTCAGTTTGGCTTCGCTCCTTTTCCCCTTCTCTTCTTCTTTCAGTGACCTCAAAAACGGACTTTCTCAAAAACTGGTCGTGGATTCGCACCTTCCATCTCAACAAACTTTGTCTGAATTGCAAGGAAGCTACAGTTTGAAAAATCCTCTAAGAACCGCTGCATAAATCACGTAATCCCCACACGCCAGCGAGTCAGTTACACTAGAAACATAGGGAGTTTGATTGACAACCTAACAGCCAATAGATAAAGAGGGAGCCTCGTTATCTATTGGCTGATGTTTATCTGTTCTCACTACGTCCATAGTTGATAGATTTTCATTCTTTTTTTTTTGGTCATCATAATTACAAGGCTGCTGCGTCTCTGTAATGGTATTTTAAACTTTCAATGACAATTTGAAATGAAAAAACAAAAAAAAATCCTCCATACAACCTTTAAATTTTGATCCTTTTTCCAAGAGCACCCTCTACCTGCTCCTACTGATTGGAACATCTGCAGCAAACAGCCACATTTTTGTTCTTTCTGCACAGATTGGTTTATAATTTGTTGACATGTATTTGTAATGTATTTGTCAAAATCCAAGGCCGTGTACACATGTATTGTTGAGCAGAATGTGTCTTACTTCTGTGCAGATTATTGCATAAGCAGCTCTTGAGGTCAAAATAAGTATGTCTATATTTAATTATAAAGCCTTTTATTAGCTGATAATCAGGATGCGTGTGTTAGCATGCTAGTTGTTAGGTTTACCAAGACAGAAAAACTGTTCTGGTCGCTTAAAGTTGTGAAAATTACTTCTAAACTCGTGGTGGTGAATAATTACGATGCTCAGAATGCATACGGTAAGTGAGGAAGAACTTTGGACCACTGCACTAGTTCTTTTTTCATTTTTTTTAAGACAAGAAACATTATATAAGCCTACAGCGCTTTAAAGCCACTGGCAATAAACATGTACTTTAATTGATTTGACAAATTCCACCTACAACTTTATTCCAAACTTTACACTTTGAATTGTGACACTGCAGAAATGTAAACAGGGCTTGACTTTAACATCTTCACTGGGAGATGGAGTTAGTTTGGCTTTGTATTTGTCCAGTGGCTTTACCAAACAATTGCAGTGAGGTGTGTGTTAAGTCAAGCCCTGTGCGCTGACGTGTTTTACAGTGTAGAGGTTATAGTAGGTTTTGTAGTGTAGAACATTCGGGGCCGATCACATGTTGATGATTGTAATGTTTGCACAATTGTGTACAGAGACTTAAAAGCCATCACAACTGACCAATTTTGAAATATCTGGAACCCTAACTTGTGCTGGAGATGTGACTTTTTTGACCATTTTGTTTGTATGCGTGCGCTTGGTTACTGCTCTCCATGTGCTTCCTGCTTCTGCTGCACTTACCCAAAAGCCCCTGCGGTGTGCGGAAAGACTGCGGACTTCATATATAAAAGGGATTTATTGAAGTGAATGCGAGGGAAAAGAAACATCATTTTGGCTGATGACAGTGGGTTAAACAGAGTGTAAAGTCACTGAGGTAGGCCGATCTGACCATTACATAGAAGAGTGAAAACATATTCCCAATAACTGACAATTTTTCCAGAGATTACACTTTGAAACAATAAATTTTTCAAATGCTGCCTTTGTAACCTCCTTTTCTATCTCCTCTACACTACCACAAATCCAAACAAACAATGCCACGGGTGTGTAAAGGGAAAAACATGAGGAAAACAAGTACAAGATTCTAACGCTGAGCATGTCGTCGTCATGGAAACATAATGCATACAAAGTTCTTCTCAAATTCCAGAAATGTCACACTGCGTATTATAGTAGATAAAGCAGCATACATATTTAACATCATATTACAATTCCAAGTTCGACCTCAGTTGTGGTGTTAAAATGTCTGCCGTCATCAAAGAGAATACAAAAAAATAGATTTGGTCATTATTTACAAGAACACGTAATTCCCGAACTATCAAAGCTGAGGGCGGAGAGGGGGAGGGGCTTCGATAAGGGCAGACATTCCTAAAAATACGCCCTGTGAGGGTAGAGTACAAGATTCACACCAGGACAGCAGAGCATGCACTGCAAAAACGGACCACTACGGCAGGTTAACATGACCGCAATCACAAACGCAAACATCTGAGTAGTTCCAACTAGTTTAGATTGATTAAATTAACTTAAAATACTTAAAAGAATTAGTTTAAATGCTGCGCAGACAATGCAAAGCAGCTCCTCTATAATGTATATTTTCAACATAACATTTAATTCTTATAGTGTCTCGAAAGATGGATTTGACATAATATAAAACAAATTATACTGAAACCAGTCTTGAATTGTGTCAAATATTCTAAAAAAAAATGTAATAAATCAATCTGTGCTTTTTCAAAACTACTCAAATCTAAAAAAGAAGTCATTTAAACCTGTGTAGACACTGGTTTTTGCAGTGTTGGCATACTGGTGACACTACACACATAAGTTACATTAAAAAGAAACAATGCAAAAATAACTTTAAGACGAGGAGAAGACAGCCGCACATGAAATCCAGTAGTTGACTTTGAAATGTAATAGACATGCACTCTTATATACTTTTTTTTTTTTTTAGTTTTTTTAGTTTTCCTTTTTGAAGGGAAGCCTTAAAATACAGAAGTCATCAGAAACTGCTCTTACACAACTGGTGAGAAAACAAACTAAAACTCTTAAAAAGGTTTTGCTAATATTTGATATTACAAAACTGGTGTCCACAAAGCATTTAAAGGTGGACCGTAAAGACTGGGACACGGGAGCGTCAAAGGTACAGGTCCACACTGCAAAAAAAATCTATCTGCATCATTTAAAGTAACTTGAATTCAGAATTTGATCTTTTTGAGTGATTTTAACTTATTTAGATAGATTTACTGGTGTTATTGCAGAACTGTATGCTACTCATTCTTTAAGCACTTTACTCTTACGGTTAAATTGCAAAGATTTATAACAGCTTAGCTTAGTTTAGATGAAATAAGTTATTTGTAGCTGTTTACATAATTTAATCTTGAAATAATATGTCTATCTTCTCTTCTCTTGTAGAATCTACCAATGGGTCTTAAGAGAAATTTCACTGTCCCGATGGAAGAAAATGTATTTTGAAACAAAGAAGTTGCAAGTCCATTTAAACAAATCAAAGAGTCTCGATCAAACAAGTAAACCAATCTAAACGAGTGAATCCTACTCAAAAGTATTCTGAATGGTGGTGGTTTGACCTCATGTAGATATCATGTTTTTGCAGTGCAGGCGAGTCCTTCTAACCTGACTGGCCAAGAACATAAAAACCAACACTCGCCTACTGCAATATGAAAGGGGGATTACACCGGGGCTGCTGGGGCGTGACCGGGAGGTACAGTTCAAACAGAGCACAGCCAGAGCACAGCCATAGTGTAGCCGGAGCCTCAGTCGTCGTCGTCGTCCTCCCCTTCTTCGTCCAGATCCCGTTTCCTCTTCTGCCCTCGCTCCTCTGCGCACACAAACATTACCATGAGCAATAGCCACATTTACAAGCATTTAAGTCTAACACACACCAGAGCACGGCGCCTCATTTGAATTAGGGTTAATTAATTCATGTTAATTAGGGTTTAAAACAACTCTTTCTGTGAAAACGGGAGAAACAGCAGAATACTGATCAAATGCAGGAAAAGTAGAGGAGCCAAGGATTTCTCTGCTCTTCTCCCTCTCCTCACAGTCTATTCCCTATATAAGATGCTGCATCATCATTTGGGTTGTATTATTTTGAATGAGGCAGCTGATATTGACTGTAAATAAGTTCAATACGGACGATAAAGCCAGCTTTAAAAAGTGTTGGTTGTGGTGTGATTGTTGGTCACATCAACATTGGACATTTTACACAAAACAACCGACTTTATGTCAGATTTATTAAATTTTGTGGCTGAAGTACTGCCACAAAAAAGCGAGACAAAAATGGGGCAGCAGAATTAAGTGAATAGATGTACATGTGACACAGAGTGGGGGCATGTCTGTGTTCACTGCACAAGTGCAAAAAGCAGAACTGTTTTCAGATGCAAATGCTGCAAAGTTTGAGTCGAGGCGTGGGGTAGTAGAGCACTCAGTGTGTGCACACTCATGGAAATCAATGGAAGTGAATTTTTTTTTTTTTTTTATTGCCCTGCATCAAAGTGTCCCAGTGTGCGTTGGCCAGTTGTAAATCTATAATATAAATCTAACTTAGCACATTACACTTACCATCATCATCCTCGTCGTCAACTTCTCTGTCATTCAGATCCTCCTCTTCTTCCTCCTGTAAAATCAGACAGTAAAGATTATACATTATATATCAAGATAGAGAGAAGTAGTGATGGTTTTCATATTCTAGAACGTCCAAATCATTTCCCTTGTGGATCAATAAAGTTTGTCTAAGTCTAATAATAATGATACTGGCAGATGGGGCAAGGGACAGTTTTTCCCTGTTGATTACAATGCACTTTGGCATAAAATATCTATAAGGTAAATTCACAAATGTTGAAGCTGATCATTCGTATTAGTGACTAGGCCCAAGAACTCACTGTTGTACAACAAAAATCTGTATTTCAACCAAATTCATTTTACCTGACCCCCATCTGTATTAAATATTACTGACCTATTAGAATGTGGTGTCATCTGAAACCCAGAGATTGCAGTCAAATTGAAATCACACTTTTAAATTTCAATTTGTGAAGACACTATTAAGTAGGCCAAGTTAAATCATTTCATAATTGTAAAGAAAACTGATAGTAGGTAGTTTAGACCTCTATAAACATGTTCAGAATGGAATGGGCAGGGAGCAACTGTCTCCAGCAGAGGGCGCAGCCAGTCTAAATAAAACATAAAATAACAGCTAAATAAGTAGCTACTAATTTTTTTAATTTGAAATGAGCATCACAACATAAAGTTACTCTGATCATTATTTAAATGGTCAGAATACGTGGGAAAGAGTGGAGATCTGCACATTCACCACTAGATGTCGCCAAAGTAAAACCTACTCCTCCATGTGACCTGCTTGTTAGAATGTGCTGATTCTGTCCACACTTAACATTTCTAATTCCATCAGTGCTTTCAGTATGAGAAAGACTATAACACTACCATTTTACTAAAGCTACATATCAAGTAATACTTAAAAGAGACTATATTACCTAATTATATACTATAATGTAGTTTCCTCATCACAAACACACCTGGAGTTGTGTTTTGTTTCGTTCACACATGCTTAACGCACCAACCCTGCACATTTAGGCTGAATTATCTTCTCTTAAACTGAAAACACTTCAATAATGTGCATCATTTCAGCCCTGGCACTGGTAAAGTCCACTGAACTAAAGGTAAAAGGAGCTGTTAACTTGAAAACTACTACTTCGTGACATCACAAGGTGGAAATAACAGACTAATAGGGTTACTCAAACATATGTGAAAGAAACAATATACAAGTCCAGGTCTGTTTTTGAGGTAACAGCATTATAACATGGCTTAAAGCTCACAAGACCCTATTTTGTGTAATGTAGGGCTTGTATGTGGGCGAAGAATGTGGACAGGCAATCAGAAAAATATGCAAGTAAAGTAGAATCAGTCAAATTTGAAACAGTAGACCGATCAGTCTTATCTGTTCCAGGCCACATATGTAAAAGTTGTGTGGATAAATTGAGAGTTTGTCAAGATAAATACAGTTTGACCCCAAGTGCAGTTTTGTGTGCTCACAGCCCTGACCTCTCCACTCAGGTCGTCCTCCTCCTCTTCCTCATTCTCCTCTTCATCCTCCTCTCCCTCCTCCTCCTCTTCATCTCCTGGAGCTGCATCTTCATCATACTCCTCCTCATCTACATCTGATGAAGAGAAGAAGTGTGGTAGTTAGTTAAGATGGTAAATACATGTATTAACAGCATAGAATTTAAGGCAGAAATTTGCTGCGGTTGCTCAAATGCTGCACATTGATTTACAAAAAAAAAAAAAAAAAAAAAAACACTTTTAAGGTTGATCTCTCTATTTATAAAAAGATGCTAACCCTGTAGTTCGTTTAATAATTCAGTGTTTTCTTTACTGCCAAAGCAGCTGGACATGTTAAAAACATGCACTCACTCAACTAAATGTCGGTGATAAAAAATATAGCTCAAAACCAAGAGCACTTCTCCATCAATTCAAAGGTTGGTGGTACGATTCTTGCCTCATACAAGACACAGCGTGCAGTAGTGTGTAAGTGATGGCAGCTTCGGTAAAAGTAACTCAACACCTATGAGTATGGAATGAATGAAATATGCACAAAAACGTGTGAAGTGTCTTTGAACACATGGAAAAAAAATAATAAAACATAATTATTAGAATGTATATTATGGAGTGCTTTACCGTCTTCGTCGTCCTCGTCATCGTCCAGCCCCTCGGCGTACACCTCTGCGTCTGAGTCGGGCGCCTCCTTGTCGTCCTTGTCGTAGCCGTCCAGATAGGTGAGCTGAGGCAGCAGCTTGAACACGTTGTCTTTGTACTCGTTCAGGTTTGTCACTTCACAGTTAAACAGATCGAGGCTTTTCAGGGTCTTCAGCTCTTTCTGCAGACAGACACAAGAGTCAAGACGGTCAGATGTGACTAGCATTCAAACTACATACTCACGTCATGATACCAAAAGAGCACATAGACTAGTATACACACACGGACACTATGGAACCTACTGGACCACTGAGGATTACACACATTTAAAACACATGGTAATAGAAAAGAAAGGACAGATTTTATGTTGAAAGTCACATTCTATTGAACATTTTAAAGAGTGTTTTTTTTATTATTGTGGTGTCGAAATCGGTGTTGAGTATTTAGTCTATTCCTTAAGATCGAAATCAAGTTTAAAATATTAGTATGGTGACAGCACTAGTTGGTAACTTTATATAGACGAACATAGCTAACTTGTATCCCTTGAGATGCACCACCATCATGTGTTATCGTTAGTGAATTTGCTGAAAAATTCCACAGTATAACGTCTGTGTACCACATTGTAACATCAAAGTTATCTATCCTGCAGTCATCATGTATTTTTATTGCTAAAAAATTGCAATACCTTCATTTACATAATGCATCTTTAATTGTACTGGGAGAGCTCATCTAGATTAGAACACAAAGAAGCAGAATGGTTTGCTTTAAGGAGGGCCTCTTGAACACTTGAGCGTTCCAAAACAAAGGATGAGGCTGACCTTCCAGACTACTCCTTAAACTAATCAGTAAACATAGGCCTAGTAGTAGAATCTACTGAGACATGTATGGTGCTTCTGGCCTTGGAGGTGGGGAGCAGACTTGGGGCTTACCAATGGCTCTATTGTGCTGAGGTCTTTAATCTTGTTGCCGCTGAGGTTGAGATGTGTGAGGTTGGGGCATTTCTCTGCCAGGACTTCCAACCCTCCTGAGATCCGGTTGTCACTGAGTTCAAGCTGGCAAAGTAAGCACAGTCAGTTATGTGCCAATTCAGATAAGATGAAACTTTGTAGATTGAAAACCAAAAACGTGGTTTGCATAGAAAATCCCCTTAATCTTTAAATTGATCATAAAACAAGATTTATAAAACTATATCACAATGGATTATTTTGTGACTGGCTTCAGTCAACAAAACAAAGTATTGGACAACATAAACACTCACCTTTTTGAGTTTATTTAACTTGGGCAAGTGGGCGACTGTTGTCAGACCGACGTTGATTGTGCTTAGAAATTCCAGCTCCTCAAATTCATCTGTCAGACCCTCGATCTTCCCTTCATTTGAACGACAGTTGTCTAGAACAAGTTCTTTAACCTGTGGACGAGACACAAATAATACAATGACACTTTGGATGTCTATATAATGTATGTATTATTAAAACTAAATAATGTGCATTATGATGTTAGGGCTCAGGAGACGTTAAAGTGCTGAAGGTTGGTGATTCAAACCCTGCTCGGACAAGTGAGTATTGTTGTGTCTTTGGGCAAGTCATTTCACCCACTTTGCCTCCAGTGTTGAAGTGTATGAATGACAGAGTGAGATAATATGGGACAACAAAGGGAAATGAGCTCCTGGCTCAGACCAGTGTGTTTACACAGAATGATCAGGGTTTTCATCAGCCTGCATTGTCCCCACATGATCAATATTAGTCCAAATAACCTCGACTAGCCTATAAGCTTTTAACGCTTTATAGAAAACAGATAACATGCCTCATATGCAGTTAGAATTTATATAAGAATAGAAGAGTAGGAGTTAAAGTGTGGCTCTGGGACTTTCTCTGCACCATAACAAACGCCTGGTTCAGTGGCCACGAGCTCGTCTTGGCCAATCAGCAGCGCGGAACGGAACTATAAGAAATATCGGCCTAATATTCCGAACACGACAGTCACGCAGCGCCTACAGCAGAGCTGGGCTTTTTACTTTACTTTTCAGCATTACGGTGTATTTACGACTAAACGTGATTCTCCAGAGCCTTGTTTGCGTGTGCACGGCTCACACACGGCTGTGAGACGGAGTGTGGATGGCTGCGAACAGCGCAGATGCACATTAGTGAAAACAAGTGCGAGCCAAACAGAGCTACGAGTCGTGCACAGGGTCATTTGGAGTAGGAGGGGCGGTAAAGCCGATTAGATAGCTGCCAGGCAAACCTTTCATTGTTGCTCGCGCTAAACAGTTGACGAATGGATTGATGGCGTGTATAGACATCTATTTATAAAAGGTATGAAGGATCCTTCGTCATTTGTGTCGAATAAACGCGGGATTCAGTGCATTTCGAAGTGCCTTTGTTTCTCAGTAAAATGGCGGCTTGTCCTAGTTATGGAAAACTAGAACAACAACACGGCGAGAATGTGTTTTCGCTTTGGATGGCGCTCACGGGCCACAGACGACAGAACGTCGACGGAACCGCCGAGTTTTCTCGAATAGAACCAAGTGCGCGGTGAACACGGTCACATACGGCTCCAGGTCCGAGCCCAGCCGTGTGGCGCGGTAGCGGTGCTTCCTCTGGGCCTCTGCGGGCACAGCGTGCACGGACTCCGGCTGGAGGCTCTCTGCACTCGCCGCTGCCCCCCGCGTCTAGGGCTTGTGTTACATAAACGAGCCCTCCGCGCTCACAGCGGGCTGTACACGGGCTGGACCCGGGCTGTGGACCGCTCCAAACGGAGTTTTACTACACTAATGCACGGCTCTGCTCTTTATGCGCCGACGACAATTTCATGACTTTGAGAGTCCGCATCCTTCGGGCACCAAGTGCACAGCTCAAAGTGCCTGGGCTACGGTCGGACCAGAGCGTACGTGTAAACACCGAACAACTGTACGAAATGGGCTTTCTCCGGCTCTCGTACCGTGATGGGAGCACACTCGTAGACGAACAGCTCCCGTTGTGTCTGCCGTGTTTATACCGCTGGCAGAAAAGCGCTGCTGCATTCTCAAAGTGCACATAAAAGACGCGGGCTTCGGGTCGCTCTAAAGTTCAGCTCTCCCACCTGTACTACCTGTACGTCGAGCCAAACACGTCCGAACATTAGCAACAACGCGAGCCCACGTCTCCATCATCTTCAACTTGGAAGAAACTTTGTATCTCCACGCCAAGGCATCACACGAAAGGATCTCCATTAGCGGAGTAACGGGAACAGAAGCGGCCAAACGGCCAACTTACGTCTGACGGAGTGCGGTTCCGCAATTCGAGGTGAATTCTTTTCTTCATATCCATCCTGGATGTGTGTGCCCTGATGTGATCCTCACTTTTAATAATTCCTGCAAAAGCCACTAGCAGCTCCAGATCAGACTGCTGTTGTTCATTCAAACTTGATCCGCTCGGTGGGCGGGACTTGGGCTCGGGATTGTCGTCACCGCCAACCAATGGCCGCGCGCGCCTAAAGAGATAACGGATTTGCACAGACACAGGCCAATGGAGCCGCGGCCTGCCGCTGGGTGGGGTTTTCATGTGGAAGTTTGGTTGCTGTTGCCTCAAGTTTACATGAATAATGTGATACTTAAATATTTCATCTAAATTAGTGTTGGAAACATATTACCACCACATGGCATAAGTGTTTACATAACATTGCGTGTTATGTAAAAGCCTCCGCCTCGTGCTTTACACTTTACACTCCACCGCAGGATCAATGTTTTCTTATCATATGTTTTTAGATATTATTATAACGTAATGTGTGATTTTCTTTGTCCTTTGCATAAATAAAACTGATTCAAACCTAATCTGTGTTCTCTTTGCAGTTTGTTAATGGGTTACTGTTTATTGTTTTATTTTTAACTTGACCAGCGTTGCTGTGAATGCCTGTGATTAAAAACCTCATGTATGTTATTTTGTTCCATAGGCCTGTTTAAAAGCATTAGGCCTGTCAGTGTTACGTTCTCAAATAACCCGCAGATTGCTCCAAATGAGAGGCTGCAGTGGTCAAGTACAGTCGGCTCCAGGGTCCCAGAAGGTAAATCCTCTTGAGTGGGTTCTTAGCGGGAGGGAGGTCTCTCGCTGTCCTTCTCTTTCCACAGATTGTCCACTAGAGGGAGCCAAAACATCAGGAGCGCGACTGAAGCTCCCTGTGTCCTGTAGGTGTACTGGAGCTGGGCGCTCAACTTGAGGAGATTAAGTTGTGAGCAAATATAGCATGAGTTCTGAGCAGAATGCACTGGTCTTGTTTACAGTCCTGGACCAGGATAGTATCATAAACTATTGGGGAGAGTCCATTATTAGAGTGATACAAGTTGATAACTTTTTTACTTTCTTTCTTTTTGTAGTTTGTATCTTTTTTAGAGAAAAGTGAGCACTAGCCTCAGTTCTAACCCTGCACATGTACACAGACTGGGCACCAGCACAGGCATAGGGTGGGGGAGTTTGGAGGATGATCTTTCACTTGTTCTGACTCTTTAGCCAGGGCGGCATTGCCCAGTTGCACCACGTGGAGGCAACGTAAAGATCTGAATAAAGCAGAGTTGAACCATCAGATATGACTTGAAAATCAGGTAGAACTTAACCAAGTTACTCACCATCATCGGTATGGCTGAAGATGACACATTACACACCACGTTAATAATCATCAAGTAACAGTTATCTGTAGGGCTGCAGTGATTCACCTCATCAATGAATTATAATCAGTCAAATATATAATATATTGTCATTATCTGGACTATACAGTAAAACACGTGTTCAAGATCTTTTTAAAAGCATTATTATATTAAATGTAAATGTCAAAAAAAGAAAAACTTTCTGATTTAAGTCAGTAAACTTTATTGACATAAATAATCTGTATTTAAAGGATTTCAGTCACTATGTTTCATTTATTTGGTTAAAAATGTGTTTTGAAAATCTAAATTTACTACAGGAGAAATGGTTGACTAGTCGAGCACTAAAACAATCAATCTAAAACACGCATGGGATTTTAAGACACAGGCAAAGTGAGAAGTGCGTTGAAATAATGTGGGGAATGTGTTTGTTCTTTGGAAATATACTCAGGATGCCCTCAACCACTTTACTTCACCAACTTGGCTAAACATTTCTTTTTTTTTAAAGACAGATGTATGGATATTTATACTTTTAAACACACTAGCTAACCACCTTAAATCTCCAGCACAGGCCCATGCTCTGTTTGACCCAAGCAGCTGCCTGAATATCAGTGGTGGAAACGGTACTCAAAATTTGTGCTCAAGTTAAAGTGAGAACTACTGCTGCACAAGTTGTACAAGTAAAAAGTACACATGAAAACTACTACTTTTTAATGCAATAAAAAAAATATTTAAAATCACACTTTTACACAAAATGTAAACATAAAGTGACTGAATTCTTTTGTTTCAAACAAAAATCCACACATTTCTTGAGTTCTGGCCAGTGTGAGCAGGAGATGCAGTGCAGACTGTGGGAGCGCAGAGGAGCAGAGACAGAGTTGGACAGTAGGACAGAGTTGGACAGTAGGACAGAGTTGGACAGTAGGACAGTAGTCTGTATCTTCTATGATTTCACCAATTACAATGACATGATTAGAATTGTACTCAGTTACAAAAAGAAGTGAATGTTTAAAAATCTATCTAAGTACAATTACCCCAAAAATCTATTACAGTAACGTGAGTATTTGTTATTAGTCACTTACTTTCCACCACTGCTAAGTTTACATGAAGAATATTAAGCTCTGTATTTAAAGAGAATACTGCAGAAACATGACTCCACTGCTCTTTTATCCACTTTGTAGTAAAACAAGGTCATCAATGGGTTTGTACTGAATTCAAATTGAAATTCATTTGGGGAAAACTATTGGTCCAACAATTGAATCATTTTACTGGACATTGATATAAATAGAAATCTCACTCTTGACCCTTTCACTTAATCAGAAAAATCATTATTATTATTTATTACAGTGGCTGGCCTTAATGTTAATAGTGTTGTCACAATACTAGGCTGACCAGATTTTCAAATCAAAAAACTGGGACACCCCCCCGGTTTTGATGGCTGGTAATAATAAAATTGTGAAACGAGTGCACAATTAAGGAAAATTGTTCTGCACTCGGCCATTTCGTGACTAACATGTGAGTCGGTACAGTCACATTTTTTGTGTGTTTTGGTCATTTTTAAGCAGTTTTTCTGTAGTTTGCCTAAACAAATGACAATTTATGACTCTATTTGTTGTTGGCAGGGATCAGATTGGTCAAAAATAGGGACACCTTATAAACAATTTTTGGGTTTGGATGTTCACTCAACAGCTAAGGTTAGTGGAACTTGGGAACAGGAACTAGGAATATTTTTTTCAGACGAGCAGTGGGATAGTGCGATATCACCTCTAGTACACCCTCTGAAAGATTACAGCTTATTCAATTTAAAGTATTATACAGTTCATTATTCAAAATCTCACTTATCAGAAATGTACCCACAGGTTGCAGATCAGTGTGAGAGAAGACTAAAAAAAACTACTCAACTACTGGAGACAATACGCTGAAATACTTTCTAATGCTCTTATAGTTCAATTTGACCTTCACCTTTTTTAACTATATTTGGTCTTCCAGTTAATACTTTGTTAACTGACAGTACTCATTTCAAAATACTCACGTTTACATCACTTATAAATAGACGCAGTGTTGGGAAGGTGACTTTTAAAATGTATTTCCCTACAGATTACAGATTACATACCCCGAAATGTAGTTTGTAACATAATCCATTAAATTACTTAAAGTGAGTAATGTAATCTGAATACTTTGGATTACTTGATTTACTGTAGAGAAGCAAAGACTAGGAAATCGTAACATAAGATGTTTTATCTGCTAAAAGAAAATAAAAAGCTCAAACTTTACTTAACCGTATTAAAAATATTATTGATAATAGAAGAGGAGGGGACTCGATCCACGCGGCATGATTTAGTCCTGTTGCATCCTGTTTTAGTCTTGGTTTAGTCCTTGTTTAGTCCTGGTTTAGTTCTGGTTTTAGACTTGGTTTAGACCAGGTTTTAGTCCTGGTTTAGACCTAGTTTAGACCTGGTTTAGAACTGGTTTGGACCTGGATTTAGACCTGGTTTTAGATCTGGTTTAGACCTGGTTTAAAGTCGAGCAATGAGTGGAATTACCGAACAAAACAAAAACAGAATAGCCCAAAATGTGAAAACAGGAAAATCCCTCTGTGTAATCCATTTATTTCAACAAAGTAACTGTAATCCAATTACCACTCACTTAAATAGTAACTGTAACTGAATACAGTTACTCATAATTTGTACTCTGATTACATAACTCTAGTACATGTAATCTGTTACTCCCCAACACTGAATAGATGTAATATTTTACTTCTCTGGAAATCTGCTGCAGTTCTTTTAATCTCTCAGTGGCTTCGTGATGTTTTAGGATTTCTTAAATTGGAAAAGATTTAATATTGCAACTAAGAACAATAAAGCAAAATGTGAACAGAATTACAGAATAATTAAAATCATTCAAAACTGCCTTTAGATTAATAGACTAATAGACTGTCAAATCCCTCCTACTTTTTTCTCTCTTCTCTCTCTTTACCTTTTCATCATCATAATTACAATTGCCTTTTAATTGTTTGACTTTATTTCATTTTTGATCATATCTGGATTTGACACTTATTATTAGTAGTATTAAGATGGTGTTTTCTTTTTGAAAATAAGAAAAATGTAAAAGGAAAAAAAAAAATGTAATTTGTAAATCTTGTATGAGTACACTGTGATTCCTTAATAAAAATATTTACCGTATTTTTCAGACCATAAGTTGCACTTTTTTTCATGGTTTGGGTGTTTCCTGCAACGTGTACTCAGGTGCAAACTATATATAACATTTTTCACACTGACAGCCACAAGAGGGCGCTCTAGGCTTGTGTATCAGTATCTAGTACTACTATTATTCCGGTACCACTGTCATTTCACTCTAATGCACACGTCTCCTGCAGAAAAAGCCACTGTTCTGTTGCAAATAGTGAAATATGCAGCTGAAAACGGTAATTGAGCAGCAGAAAGAAAGTTTGGAGTGAGCGAGAAACTTGTGATTGGCAGAAAGCGGGGATGAAGAACACAACTTCACTTAAACAGGGCAGATGCACCATGAAACTTTCCTGAAGTCACTGGATGGATGGACAAAGCTTGAACTTCATTGACACTGAAACCATCCTGTCAAGATTCACAAAGACCCGAATAATTCTAACTGGAACTGATGCTGAGTCTGACGACAGCGACACAGAAGAGGAAGCGGCGCTCTGTTTACCTCATGGATCTATGGTTTATCTCTAGAGGTCACGTAGAAGTGACACCAAAGATGAAGAATTGATTGGATTTAGTGATTTGGAGTGAGATCGTGAGTTTGGTAAATTTATGTTCTGTTGTTTATGCTCTAATTATCTGAA